TCTGGGGGGGGATGGGGAGAGGGAGGAAGAGGAGGAGGGGGGGGGAAGGAGGGGGAGAGTGATAATGAAGATGGAAGAGGATGAAGGAGGAGGATGAGGATGATGATGATGGGGATGAGCAGAAGGAAGGCTGTGGGGGAGTGGAGGCAGGAGGGGTGAGGAAGAGGATGAGGAGGGGATGGGAGAATGAGGATGAGGCTGAGGAGGGTCAGGGATGGGAGGATGAGGGGGAACAGGAGGAAGAGCAGGAGAGGAGGAAGGGGCAGGACAAGGATGAGGGGGGCTGAGGAGGGGGTGGTGAGGATGATGAGGATGGGAGGGCCAGCGAGGCTGAGGAGGACAAGGAGGAGGTGAGGATGATGGGGATGATGAGGAGGAAGGGTTAAGGATGACGAGAAGGGGATGAGGATGACGAGAAGGGGGCGAGGATGATGAGAAGGGGGCGAGGATGATGAGGAGGGGGCGAGGATGATGAGAAGGGGATGAGGATGATGAGAAGGGAATGAGGATGATAAGGAGGGGAAGGCCAGGAAGGCCGAGGATGACGAGGAGGAAGCCGAAGAGGCCAGGACAGGGCGCACAGAAGCGGGAGGAAGAGCAGGGCAGGGTGGAGGAAGGCGGCCGTGCTAACCGTGTCTCCCTGCTGCCGCCTCCGGGCCCTCTGGCCCTCACGTACCATTTGTATGATGGCGTCGGCCTCGGCCTCCAGCTGCCGGACGGCGGCCTGGATGCTGCCGGCCGCCCCCAGCCCCGCGGCGCCTGCGGGCACAGCGCGGTCAGCGGTCAGCACGGACAGCGCTCAGCGGTCAGCGGGGTGGCCGGAGCGGCCCTTACCCAGCCGGCCGGGCTGCTTGGCCTTGCGGTGCGCCCGGCGCGTGTCGTCGCGCAGCTGGATGATGACCTGCAGCACGCGCAGGAAGAAGCGCTGCGTGGACGTCTTGGAGGTCAGCACGGACATGGAGGGCAGCTGCAGCTCCCGGCCGCCCAGAGCGCGCTTCTGAGACGCCACGATGACCACGCTCTCGGCCGTGTCGAAGCTGGGGGGGACAGGACAGGGGTCAGGGGTCAAGGGGGGAGCAGAGGAATGGCAGGGACAGTGGTCAGTGGTGAGGAGCAGGGGGAGTGGGCAGTGGTCATCAAAAGGGGCAACAGGGAATGGGCAGTGGTCATCAGCGGGACATCAGGGAGCGGTCATCAGGAGGGACAACAGGGAATGGGCAGTGGTCATCAGCGGGACATCAGGGAGTGGTCAGCAGGAGGGACAACAGGGAATGGGCAGTGGTCATCAGCGGGACATCAGGGAGCGGTCATCAGGAGGGACAACAGGGAATGGGCAGTGGTCATCAGCAGGGACAAGGCAAAGTGGGCAGTGGTCATCAGTGGAGAACAGGGGGAGTGGGCAGTGGTCATCAGGGGGAATGGGTAGTGGTCATCAAAAGGGACAACAGAGAGTGGGCTGTGGTCAGCAGCAGGGACAAGGAGGAATGGGCAGTGGTCATTAGTGGGGACCAGGGGGAATAGCCAGTGGTCATCAGTGGGACAGCAGGGAGTGGGCAGTGGTCATCAAAAGGGACAACAGGGAATGGGCAGTGGTCATCAGCGAATTGCAGGACAGCGGTCAGCAGCGGGGACAACGGGGAATGGTGGCACAATGGTCATCATCAGGGACCTCAGACAAGGACAGGAGGGGTCAGTGGTGCCCAGGACAGGGACAGGAGGTGTCACCGTGCCCAGGACAGGGACAGCAGCCACGCCAGGCCCCAGGGGGAGCGGGCACTCACCGGCTCTGCATTTTGCCCTTGAGCTTGGCGCTGGGGGGCTGCTCCTCGGGGAGCCCCTCGGGGGACGGGGCCTCGAGCTGTGCCCGCCGCTGCTGCTCCAGGTTGTACTCACGGAGCTCGGCCAGCAGCGTCCCTGGGTGGGGGGGTTGGCACGGGCTGGGACCCCGCTGACCACCCCCACTGACCACAGGGCACACTCCCAGCCCACCCACTCGGGAACTCCCCCCACCAGTCAGGTGGCCCAGACCCTTTCCAAGACCCCCCTCACACAGGGCCCCCCACCCCAGAGCCCCCCTCACCACTTGGGTGGCTCAGACCTCCCTCAGGACCCCCCCTCACCGATCTGGCGGCACAGGGCCCCCCCCAGCTGCCGGGCCCCGCTGAGCAGCAGCCGCAGCACCGTGTCCCTTGTCCCCGCGTCCCCCCGTGACAGCTGCAGCAGGACGTTGGCCGCGTCCTCCAGCCCCTCCTCCGAGCACGAGTGTGATGTCAGCACCTGGGGGCAGCACAGGGGGGAGTTGGGGACACCTGGGGACAGCAGGACACCCCCCATGCCCAGCCCGGCCCCCCCGGTACCTCCACGGAGAGCTGGAGCTGGCTCTCGGTCAGGCCCGTGGCCGCCAGCCGGGGGTCGGAGCCACCCTCGGGGACCTTGGCAGGGGACTTGGAGCTCTTGGCAGGGGCTGGGGACAGCAGGGACACAGCGGTGGGGGTGGTGGCAGTGGGTGGGAGATGCCACCGAGATGCCACCCCCACCCTGCCCAGGCTGCTCCCTGTGCTGTTGTGACATCCTGTCACCATGTCCCATCCCTGTCCCCATCCCCATGTCCCCCTCCCCTTTCCAATGCCCTCATCTGTTCCCATGTCCCCATCTCCACATTCCCACCCCGTCCCTGTCCCCATCCTTGACCCCTGTCCCCATCCCTGTCCCCCTGTTCCCATTCCCTGTTGCCCTGTCCCCATCCCTATCCCCATTTGCTGTCCCCCGTTCCCATTTCCCATCCCTTGTCCCCATCCCTATCCCCATTTACTGTCCCCCTGTCCCCAACACCCCGTCCTCCTGTCCCTATCCCCATCCCCCTGTCCTCATCCCCCTGGTCCCTGTTCCCCTGTCCCTGTCCCCACCCCTGTTCCTGTCTCCCTGTCTCCATCCCCATCTCTGTCCCTGTTCACACCCCTGTTCCTGTCTCCCTGTCCCCATCCCTGTCCCCATCCCCATCCCTGTCCTCCTGTCCCTATCCCCATCCCCCTGTCCTCATCCCACTGTCCCTGTCCCCATCCCTGTCCCTGTCCCCACCCCTGTTCCTGTCTCCCTGTCCCCATCCCTGTCCCCATCCCCACACTCACCTGCGGTTCCTCCAGCCGTGGCCGCTCCTCCTCCGTTGCCCCCCTGTCCCGGGGGGCTCCCGGGCGCTGCGGCCGCCCCCGTCCCTGTCCCTGTCCCTGTCCCACCGCCTCCAGCGGGCGGGGCGGGCGCGGGGGGGGCGGGGGCTCCGTTCTGGGGCGCTGTCCCCCCCTCGCCGGCCTTGCCCCCCTCGGGGAGGGCGATGGAGATGAGGGACAGGAGGCGCAGCAGCTTCTCGGTGAGGAGGGGGCTGCGGCGGATGACGCCGTGGGACAGCATGTTCATCAGCTGCCCCAGCGGCGACGCCTCCAGGCCCCCCCCGGCCGCCTCGGGCTCGGGGCCCCCAAAAGGGGGGAAAAGAGGGCAAGGGCTGCCCCCGGATTTGGGGGGGCCGCGGTCACGCTCCGGGTCGGTGGCGGGGTCTCGGCCTCGTTGTTGGGTGAAGTGGCTGGGGAAGACCTGGGTGGGGGGACAGGGGGTGTCAGGGGGATGCTGATGACCCCAAAACCATCCCAAAACTACCCCGGAGTCCCCTGTGCCCCTCTATCCCAGGAGGCCTCAGTCATGCCCAGGCCCCCCACAGGTTTTGGGGATCATCTCCCCGCCAGGTGATGCTACCTGTGCAACTGAGAGGGACCCCAAGTGTGGGGAGGGGTCCTCAGTTGTGCCCCCCAGGTGTGGGAATGTTCCAGTGCCCCCCCCAGTTTTCTCCAGTGACCCCCAGAGGCCCCCAGCTACCCTTTAACGTGCCCTGGTGCACCCCAAAATGTGCCCCACAAAACCTCCCAGGTTCAAGGAACCTCCCAGAAACCCAAAAAGGGTCTCTACCATTAGAAAACTTCACCTGGAGATCCCCAAACCACCCAATAATGCGCCAAAAACCTTCCAGAATCCTCCCAGAAACCCAATTATGCTCCCCAATTTCCCCTGAACAGCCCCAAACCACCCCTTAACGTGCCAAAAACCTTCCAGAAACCTACCCAAAAACCCAAGAACTCTCCCCAATTTCCCCTGAAGAACCCCAAACACCCCACCTTCCCAGCATCCCCCACCTTGGCCAGCTGGATGAGGGTGTCCAGCACGTGCCGGCACACCACGGGCGCGGCCTGGGGGTGGATGTGGACGGCGGAGCCAGCGGCCGCCGCGTGTTTCTCCGTGTGCTTGCGGCCGGGCACGCGCTGGATCTGGAAGATGTTGGTCCTGCAGCCCAAGGCCGCGTCCATGGACACGGAGAGCCAGGACAGCTGCCCGGAGCTGCGCGATTCCATGCGGTGCAGCAGGTCCAACCCGCGCGGCTCCGCGGCCGAGCCGGGCCCGGCGCGGCTTCCGCCGCCTCGGCCCCGCGGCCGCTCCTCGGAGCCCGGCCCGGGGGTCCCGCGGGGGGTCTCGAGGCACAGCTCGCTCTCGCTGCTGCGCTGCAGGATGGACAGCAGGCTGCGGACCACCCAGCCCCGCGTGGGAGCGTGGTAGCAGAGGTTGCGCAGGACGCGGTGCAGGCGGCTGGTGTTCAGCTTGGGCTCGTCCACGAAGAGCAGCACCAGCAGGCAGGACAGAGCCTCGTGGTCCAGCAGCAGCCGCCCACGCAGGCGCAGCAGGCTGTCCACGCTGCTGCCCGCCGGCCTGGGGATGGGGGACAGCCAGGAGTGACCCAAAGTGACCCAAACCAGACCCCAAACTGACCCAAAACAGACCCTGAACTGTCCTGTCCACACTGCTCCTGCTGGACTGGGGATGGGGGATAGTAAGGAGTGACCCAAAGTGACCCAAACCAGACCCCAAAGGGCCCTGTCCACGCTGCTGCCTGCCGGCCTGGGGATGGGGGATAGCCAAGAGTGACCCAAAGTGCCCCAAAACAGACCCCACACTGGCCCAAACCAGACCCCAAAGGGCCCTGTCCACGCTGCTGCCTGCCGGCCTGGGGATGGGGGATAGCCAAGAGTGACCCAAAGTGCCCCAAAACAGACCCCACACTGGCCCAAACCAGACCCCAAAGGGCCCTGTCCACGCTGCTGCCTGCCGGCCTGGGGATGGGGGATAGCCAAGAGTGACCCAAAGTGCCCCAAAACAGACCCCACACTGGCCCAAACCAGACCCCAAAGTGCCCTGTCCACACTGCTCCTGCTAGCCTGGGGATGGGGGATAGCCAGGAGTGACCCAAAGTGACCCAAAACAGACCCCAAACTGGCCCAAACCAGACCCCAAAGTGCCCTGTCCACACTGCTGCCCGCTGGCCGGGGGTTGGGGGATAGCCAGGAGTGACCCAAAGTGACCCAAAACAGACCCCAAACTGGCCCAAACCACACCTCAAAGTGCTCTGTCCATGCTGCTGCCCACCAGCCTGAGAGGACAACTGAGACTGACCCCAAACTGACCAAAACCGACCCCAAACTGACCAAAACTGCCCCCAAACTGACCAAAACTGACCCCAAACTGACCTAAACCGACCCCAAACTGCCCTGTCCACTCTGCTGCCTGCTGGCCTGGGGACACGGTTATACCCAAATTGATCCAAAACTGACCCCAAACCAACCCCAAAATGACCCTTAAACTGACCCCAAACAGTCCCAGACACCCCCTACCCTCTCAGGCTGTCACCCCCCAAGCCAGAGCTGTGCCCCCACAGCTGTGCTCCAGCCCCACTGACCTGCTGTGGGTGCCGGTGCCCCCCATGTGGAAGGTGCCCCCCCTCTGCACCGCCAGCCGCGTGTACTGAACGCCCCGGTTCCCGCTGAGCCGGCTGGTGAACGCTGCGGGGACAGAGACAGGGACACCGGTGTCACACAGCAGGGACATGGCACGGCCTGGGGACACTGGGAACGGGTCACACACTGGGGACACGTTACACACTGGGGACACCAGGGATGTGTCACACAGCAGGGACATGGCACGGACTGGGGACACTGGGAACACGTCACACACTGGGGACACCAGGGATGTGTCACACAGCAGGGACATGGCACGGACTGGGGACACTGGGAACACGTCACACACTGGGGACACCAGGGATGTGTCACACACCAGGGACATGGCATGGACTGGGGACACTCAGGATGTGTCACACACCAGGGACACTGGGGACACGTCACACAGCAGGGTCAGGGATGTGTCACACAACGAGGACAGTGGGGATTTGTCACACACTGAGGACGTGTCACACACTGGGGACACGTTACACACTGGGGACACCAGGGATTTGTCACACACTGGGGACACGTTACACACTGGGGACACCAGGGATTTGTCACACACTGGGGACATGTTACACACTGGGGACACCAGGGATTTGTCACACACTGAGGACACGTCACACAGCAGGGACACTGGGGACACTGGCGATGTGTCACACAGTGGGGATGCCAGGAATGTGTCACACACGGGGGACAGGGGGAGATGGGAGAGAATCAGGATGGGGACACAGGGAATGGGGGGGCAGAGGGAACTGGGAGGGACTGAAGGAATTGTGGGGACAGAGAATTGGGGACGACACAGAATTGGAGACGCAGGGAATTGGGGAGGGGGGCAGAAGGAATTGTGGGGGACAGAGAAAATTGGGGGGGGGCAGAGGGAATTGGAGCGGCAGAGAGAATTATGGGGGACACAGAGGGAACTGTGGGGGACAGAAGCATTTAGGGGGACACAGAAAGAATTGTGGGGGACACAGAGGGATTTGGGGGGACACAGAGGGATTCAGGGGACAGAGAGAATTGAGGGGAACACAGAGGGAACTGTGGGGGACAGAAGGACTTGGGGGGACACAGAAAGATTTGGGGGGACACAAAGGAATTGTGGGGGACACAGAGGGATTTGGGGGGACACAGAGGGATTTGAGGGGACACAGAGAGATTTGGCGAGCAGAGGGAACTGGGGGGGACAGAAGGATTTGGAGGGACACAGAAGGAATTGTGGGGGACACGGATTTGTGGGGACACAGAGGGATTTGGGGGGCAGCAGGACAGGTCCCCCTCACCGGGGCTGCGCAGGATGGCCGAGAGCGCCGAGGTGCTGGAGTGGCCGAAGAGGCGCTCGTGCATGAGCTGCCGCTGCCGCGCCTCCTGCTCGCGCCGCAGCGCCTGCGCCTCGGCCGCGATGTCCGGCGGCATCACGGCCAGCACCGAGTCCTCCATGTCCTCCAGCACCGAGCGCCGCAGCTCGGACGGCAGCGTCTGGATGAACGTCACCGGGTCCATGGGCGCGTCCGAGCCCGTGGCCTGAGCCAGCTCCCGCCGCTGCTGCTCCGCCCGCTGCTGCGCCAGCACCTGTGGGGGACAGCGCTGGGACACGGCCGGGACCGCGGGGACACGGCCCGAGAGAGCACGTCCACATGGGGATGTGTCCCAAAGAGGCCACGCCCTGAGAGACCACGCCCCAAAGAGGCCACGCCCCTATGGGGATGTGTCCCAAGGAGGCCATACCCTGAGAGACCACGCCCCAAAGAGGCCACGCCCCTATGGGGATGTGTCCCAAGGAGGCCACGCCCTGAGAGGCCACACCCCAAAGAGGCCACGCCCCTATGGGGATGTGTCCCAAGGAGGCCATACCCTGAGATACCTTGCCCCAAAGAGGCCACGCCCCTATGGGGATGTGTCCCAAGGAGGCCACACCTTGAGAGGCCACGCCCCAAAGAGGCCACACTCCGCCCTGAGAGACCCCAAAGAGGCCACGCCCCTATGGGGATGTGTCCCAAGGAGGCCACGCCTTGAGAGGCCACGCCCCAAAGAGGCCACACTCTGTGAGACCACATCCCAAAGAGGCCACGCCCCTATGGGGATGTGTCCCAAGGAGGCCATACCCTGAGATACCTTGCCCCAAAGAGGCCACGCCCCTATGGGGATGTGTCCCAAGGAGGCCACGCCCTGAGAGACCACGCCCCAAAGAGGCCACACTCTTGAGTGACCACGCCTCAGAGGCCACATTCCTATGGGGACATGTCCCAAAGAGGCCACACCCCTAAGGGGACACACCCTAAAGAAGCCACACCCCAAGAGGCCACATCCCTAAGGGGACATGTCCCAAAGAGGCCACACCCCCAAGGGGACACATACCAAAGAGGCAACACCCTGAGAGACCATGCCCTCATGTGTACACACCCCAAAGAGGCCACACCCCCATGGGGACACACCCCAAAGAGGCCACACCCCAAAGAGGGCACACCCCCATGGGGACACACCCCAAAGGGGCCACACCCCAAAGAGGGCACACCCCCATGGGGACACACCCCAAAGAGGCCACACCCCAAAGAGGGCACACCCCCATGGGGACACACCCCAAAGAGGCCACACCCCAAAGAGGGCACACCCCCATGGGGACACACCCCAAAGAGGCCACACCCCAAAGAGGGCACACCCCCATGGGGACACACCCCAAAGAGGCCACACCCCAAAGAGAGCACACCCCCATGGGGACACACCCCAAAGAGCTCACACCTCATAGACACACCCCAAAGAGGCCATGTCCCCATATGGACACACCCTAAAAGGCCACACCCCAGGAGGCCACACCTCTATGTGGACACACCCCAAAGAGGCCACACCCACCCTGTAACCCTACCCCAAGACCACACCCAAGCTGTAGCCCTGCCCACACCATGACCACACCCACCTCCTCCTGGATGGCCGGGGGCAGCGCCGCCAGGAACTCGGGGCTGACCTCGGTGAGGCCGGGGTTGGCCACCACGGGCGGGGCGGGGCTGGCGGTGGGCGGGGCCCGTGCAGGTGGGCGGATCCCCAGCTGGTTCTGCAGCACCTCCCGCCGGATGTCGTCAGGCAGCGCCGCCAGGAAGGACGGGTCCACGCCCTCGGGGAGGCTGATCCCTGTGACATGTTGGGGACACGTTGGGGACACCCTAGGGAAAGGACTGGGACCTTCCAGGGATGCCATGAAAATCCCTGGAACTCCCAGGGATGCCCCTAAAAGCCTTTGGAGACACCCTGACATCCCTCAGGGACAGCCCTAAAAACTTCTGGGGACACACTGAAATCTCCCAGGGACACCCCTAAATAACCCCACGGGGACAGGGGATTCTGGAAGGTGACAGAGGGAACATGGAACGGCAAGGGGGAGTGGCACTGACCAGCCAGAGGGGTCACAGGACCGGCCACAGGGGACACAGGGGTGCCACTGACCAGTGACAGGGGACACAGAGGTGTCACTGACCAGTGACAGGGGACACAGGGGTGTCACTGACTGGTGACAGGGGACACAGGGGTGCCACTGACCAGTGACAGGGGACACAGGGGTGTCACTGATCACTGACAGGGGACACAGGGGTGCCACTGACCAGTGACAGGGGACACAGGGGTGTCACTGACCGGCCAGCGGATCCTCCTCCTCGCTGCTGGTGGATGGCAGAGGCTCCTCCAGGATCCCCCGCGAGTCGGCGCCGGAAATGGCCCCGGCCGAGTCCCGGGTGGATGAACTCTCCGAGGATGAGGCGGGGGGGGAGCTGGGGGTGACATCACAGAGCTGTGACATCAACGAGGGGGGCCACTCCAAAACCATGAACCCCCCAAAATCATGACCCCCCCCCCCCAAAACACTTCCCCCATCGACAGAGCAGGGGAGGAAGGGGAAGCTCTCACCTATCGTCCGGAGGCTGAGCGGTGTCAGGGGGGGCGGGAGGGGGTCCTTGGGGGGTTCCAGGAGGGTTTTGGGGGGCTGTTGGGGCAGGGGGAGCCCCCCCAGACTCTTCCAAGGTGCAGGAAGCCAAACTCGAGGTGTCCATGGGGGACCCCTCCAGCTGGCTGCTCACGGCCGTCAGCGCGTCCGAGTCCTCCGCCCGCTCTGGGGACAGCGACGCTGGGGGGGGACAGGACACTGGAGCCCCCCCAGTCTGGGGAGAGTTCCCCCCACCCCAAAAAGGAGAAAACCCCCAAAAATCCAGGGGATCCCCCCAAAACCTGAGCACTTACTGATGGTGGGGGCGGGTGACAGCTCCATCTGAGTGGCCTCGGCGTCTTGGGGGGGTCGTCCGGGCCCCCCCTCTTCGTGCTCGGGGGGCTGGGGGGGGCGAGCAGGGATTTGGGGGGCTCCTGGGGGGTCTCGAGGCGGTCGGCGTCGGTTCCAGCATCACCAGTGTCCGGTGGGGACCGGGAGGGGGGGTCTCTCCCGGGGTCCCGCTGTGTTCTGGGAGGGGGGGGTGGGACACACGCAGGGATCAACACTGGGAGGAAACCCAGAAATTTGGGAGCCCCTCCCACTCCTCACCCCAAAACCTCCCTTTCTTCCCCATTTTGGGGAATCCCAGACACCCAGATGTGCCCTAAAAATGAGAGGGGGGTCCCCAGTGGGGATAGGAGAAGGTGTGGGGGGGAAGGAGACTTATTTTGGGGAGGAAGGAGGCAATTTGGGCTGGGAGAAAACAATTTATGGGGACGAGAAAATCTGGGGGGAGGAGACAATGTAGGGGTGGAGACAATTTTGGGGGTGGGGAGGAAACAATTTAGGGCAGGGCACATCCCACCCCTAGACCTAAACCACCCCCCAAATTCCATCAACTCCTAAAACTCTCCATTCAACCCCTCCCCAAAAGCCCAAAAAAAAACCTTTTAACTCCCCAAAACCACCAGATTTCCCCATTTTAACCCCACCCCGCCCCCATCCTGGATGTGCTGGTGGGGTGAGTGGATCTCTAACCCCCCTCCCCCACCGCTGCAGCCCCCCCGGGACCCCCGGGACCCCCCGGCTCCGGCGGCGCGCGCCGCGCGAGGAAGACAGTAGAATGTATAGTTATCTCCGAGACGGGGGTGTGACCCTCCAACTATACAATCTACTACCTCAGCCCGCGCGGCGCCAGCTCCAGGGGGGGATTCGGGGGTTTTTTTGGGGGGGGGTCCGGTGTCTGAAAGGTTTGGGGGGTGTCCAGGTGAGCTGGGGGGATTTACCTGGGGGGGTGACGTCGGCCGAAGCGGGGCCGGCTTTGGACGCAGCGTCCTGCGGGAGATGGGAAGGTGGGGAATGAAGGAGGGACCCTTCCCCCCATCCCGGGGAGGTTTTTGGGGGTTTTTTTGGGGGTCTCTCACCTGGGTCTCTGCCCCGTCCTTGTCCTCGGGACCTCGCTCGGCGCCTTTGGCCTCGTCCTCGGCCGCCTGGCGCCGGCGCTTCTCGCGCCGCTCGTCCAGCTCCTCGTCCCGCAGCGCCTCCAGCCGGGCCAGGATGGGCACCTTGACCACTGGGGGAGGGAAAATGGGGGGGTTTGGGGTGTGTGGGACCCCCAGGATGGGCACCTCGATCATTTTGGGGGGAAATGGGGGGGGTTGGGGTGTGTGGGATCCCCAGGATTGGCACCTTGACCACTGGAAGGCGGAAGTCAGGGGGCTTGGGGTGTGTGGGACCCCCAGGATGGGCACCTCGATCATTTTGGGGGGAAATGGGGGGGTTTGGGGTGTGTGGGACCCCCAGGATGGGCACCTTGATCATTTTGGGGGGAAATGGGGGGGTTTGGAGTGTGTGGGATCCCCAGGATGGGCACCTTGACCACTGGAAGGCGGAAATCAGGGGGCTTGGGGTGTGTGGGACGCCCAGGATGGGCACCTTGACCACTGGGGGAGGGAAAATGGGGGGGTTTGGGGTGTGTGGGACGCCCAGGATGGGCACCTTCACCACTGGAAGGCGGAAGTCAGGGGGCTTGGGGTGTGTGGGACGCCCAGGATGGGCACCTTCACCACTGGAAGGCGGAAGTCAGGGGGCTTGGGGTGTGTGGGACGCCCAGGATGGGCACCTTGCCCACTGGAAGGGGGAATGGGGGGGTTTGGGGTGTGTGGGACCCCCTTGACCACTGCGGGGGGCAACTAGCGGGGTTTGGGACCCTTGGGATGGGTACCTTGACCACTGGAGGAGAAGAAAGGGTGAGGCTTGGGAGCCTGGGGGCTGCCCGAGGCAAGGGGGGATCTGGGGGGTCCCAGGGGTCTGGGGGTTGCCCAGGGGGGCCCCGGGGGGTCTCACCAGACACGCAGTCGTGCATGCTCTCGGCGTCCAGGACCTTGCACTCCTCGGTCCAGCGCGTCAGGGCCGTGGGGATGCTGGACAGGGTCCCTGGGGGGGGGATGGGAGCTTTGGAGGCTGCAGAGGCCCCGCCCCCCAAGTGGGACCACGCCCATCTCAGCCCACCCACCCCAAGACTGTCAATCAGCCAAGCCCACTTCTCCTCAGACCACACCCCATTAAGCCCCACCCCTTTCCCACAGATTCCTTAAACCCCACCCACCACACCCCTTTAAGCCCCACCCCTTCCCAACAGACCACACCCCTTAAGCCACACCTCCTCTTATGGCTCCGCCCCTGCTGTGTCCCTGTGTCTGTGTTTTGGGGGGTCTCTCCCCGTCCCCGTGTCCCCAGGTGTCTCCCAGGTGCTCAGGTGTGCCAACTCACCTGCCTGGCTGTGGGTGTCCTCTCCCCATGTCCCAGGTGTGCCCAGGTGTGTGCCCAGGTGTGCCCACTCGCCTGCCTGGCTGTGGGTATCCCCTCCCCATGTCCCAGGTATCCCCAGGTGTGTCCACTCGCCTGCCTGACTGTGGGTGTCCCCTCCCCATGTCCCAGGTGTCCCCAGGTGTGCCCAGGTGTGCCCACTCGCCTGCCTGGCTGTGGGTGTCCCCTCCCCATGTCCCAGGTGTCCCCAGGTGTGCCCAGGTGTGCCCACTCGCCTGCCTGGCTGCCCGCGCTGCCCTGCTCGTGGAAGAAGTCGTCCAGCAGCTCATCGTCGGAGCGGGCGATGATGTGCACGTCCTCGTTGCCCACCAGCAGCCGCGCCCGGCCCCGGCTCTGCAGCGGGAGGCTGCTGCTCAGCTGCAGGATGTCTGCGGCCGCCGAGGGGCCCAGGAGCCTGGGGAGGGGGCACAGGGGGCATTCATGGGGGTGTTGGGGGGTTCAGGGGGGTGTGGGACCCCCAGCTGGGGGCACAGCCTGGCTGCTGCTCAGCTGCAGGATGTCTGCGGCCGCCGAGGGGCCCAGGAGCCTGGGGAGGGGGCACAGGGGGCATTCATGGGGGTGTTGGGGGGTTCAGGGGGGTGTGGGACCCCCAGCTGGGGGCACAGCCTGGCTGCTGCTCAGCTGCAGGATGTCTGCGGCCGCCGAGGGGCCCAGGAGCCTGGGGAGGGGGCACAGGGGGCATTCATGGGGGTGTTGGGGGGTTTCAGGGGGGGTGTCAGACCCCAGGTGGGGTTGTGAGACCCCCAGCTGGGGCTGTGGGACCCCAGGGAGGGGCTGTGGCACAAGCCCAGGTAGTGGATGGGGATTCCCAGGGGGTTTTGGTGACCCCAAGGGGGTTTGGGGGTGTTCCCTGGGGAGTCTGGTGACGACAAGGGATCTCTGGAAATTCCCAGCAGTGGTCACTCACTGCTGCAGGATCAGGGGGGGATTGGGGATGTTCCCTGGGGGGGTTTGGGTGACCTCAAGGGGGTTTGGGGATGGTCCCAGGGGCGTTTGGATGACCCCAAGAGGGTTTTAATATGTACTAAAATCCTTTTGGGTGTTCCCTGGGGGGGTCTGGGTGACCACAAGGGGTCTCTGGCCACTGCCAGCAGCGGTCACTCACCGCTGCAGGATCAGGGGGGGGTTTGGCTGCCGCGCCCCCGGGTAGTGCACGTGGATGGTGTGGCCGGCGTTGGCCGTGAGCTGCCGCAGCGTGCGCTGGCTCCGGCCGAGCCCCTGGGCCAGGCGGGCGCCCCCCGGGCCGGCCCCCAGCCCCAGCCCCCCGTGCTCCGCGTGCCGCACCAGCAGAGGGTGGCTGGCGGGGATGTTCCCGGGGGACGGCGGGATGTCGGCTGGAATGGGGAAACGGGGGGTCAGACACCCCAAAAACCATGGGGAGGGGAAAAAACAGGGGGTCAGATACCCCAAAAAACCATGGGGAGGGGAAAAACAGGGACGCAGACACCCCAAAAACCAGGGGGAGGGAAGAAACAGGGACTCAGACACCCCAAAAACCAGGGGGAGGGAAGAAACAGGGACTCAGACACCCCAAAAACCAGGGGGAGGGAAGAAACAGGGACTCAGACACCCCAAAAACCAGGGGGAGGGAAGAAACAGGGACTCAGACACCCCAAAAACCAGGGGGAGGGAAGAAACAGGGACTCAGACACCCCAAAAACCAGGGGGAGGGAAGAAACAGGGACTCAGACACCCCAAAAACCAGGGGGAGGGAAGAAACAGGGACTCAGACACCCCAAAAACCATGGGGGGGGGAAAAAACAGGGGGTCAGACATCCCAAAAAACCATGGGGAGGGAAGAAACAGGGACTCAGACACCCCAAAAACCAGGGGGAGGAATTGGAGGAAGCACCTCAAAAACCACAGGGAGGAATTGGGAAAAACCCCAAAAACCACAGGAAAGGGAGAAATTCCCAATTCCTTCACAGTCCTCCCAGTGCCCCCCAGTTCCTCCCAGTGCCCCCCAGTTCCTCCCAGTCCCCTCCCAGTGCCCCCCAGTCCCCTCCCAGTCCCTCCCAGTGCCGTACTGGGGCTGGAGAACATGTTGTCAAACTCGATGATGAGATCGTCGTCGCGGTCGAAGCGCTCGAAGCGCACGAGGGGCGAGGCGTTCATGTCGGGGTAATCCTCGTCCAGCTCCATCTCCGAGCCATCATCATCATCCTCCTCCTCCTCACCTTCCTCACCCTCCTCATCGTCCTGGCAGGGCCCGCCAGGGGGTCAGCAGGCCCCAAATTAAGGGGTTTTGGCCCAAAATAGCCTTCCCTGACCCAAACATTTTAACCAAAAACAGAACTCCTGACCCAAAATTGGGGGTACCCTGACCCAAAATAGCACCCCCTGCCCCAAAACTGGGGGCATCCTGACACAAAACAGGGCACCCTGACCCCCAAAATGGGGGTACCCCGACCCCAAATGACACCCCCAGACCCAAAATTGGGGGCAGCTTGACCCAAAACAGAACACCCCAACCCCAAAAGCCACACCCTGACCCCAAAACACAGCTACAGAGAAGACCCTGTTATTTTGGGGGCATCCCTGAGTTTTGGGGGAGCCCTCAGCACCCCACCCCCCACCTGATCATCCTCATCCTCCTCTTCCTCCTCCTCCTCCTCATCCTGGCTGTCGTCCTCATCCTCATTGCTGCCACTGCTGTCCTCCTCCTGCGTGTGCTCCTCCTCATCCTCGGGGTCCAGGATGTTCATGGAATCTGTGGGGAGGGGAGAGAGGGGGTCTGTAGGACCCTGAGACCCCCCTGGGGACACCCCCAAATCCCCGACCCAAATTTGCCCCCTGATCCCATAGGGAGCCCAATGCCCCCAAGGTCACTCCAGCCCTGCGCCCCCCACCAGAGCCCTGGGGACCTCTCAGTCCCTTCCCAGTGCCTCCCAGTCTCTCCCAGTCTCTCCCAGTTCCTCCCAGTTCCTACCCAAGCCTGTGCCCACCTTCACGGTTGGCCTGCAGCGTGGAGGCCTGGCTGAGGTTGGACGGAGCCTCGTCCATCAGAACGTCCTCCTGTGACTCGTCCTCGGCCGAGCGGCTCACTGGGGACAGGGGACACGGCCGGGGGTCAGCCTGATGGCCAGGGGTCACCCTGATGTCCAACTGTCACCCCAGTGTCCAGGGGGTCATCCTGATGTCCTGGGAGTCACCCTGCTGTCCAGTGGTCACCCTGCTGCCCAGCGGTCACTCTGCTGTCCAGCACTTTACTGTCCAGTGGTCACCCCAATGCCCAGTGGTCACTCCACTGCCCAGTGGTCACTCTGCTGCCCAGCGGTCACCCCAATGCCCAGCGGTCACTCTGCTGTCCAGCACTCTACTGTCCAGTGGTCACCCTAGTGTGCAGTGGTCACCCCACTGCCCAGTGGTCACTCCACTGCCCAGTGGTCACTCTGCTGCCCAGTGGTCACTCCGCTGTCCCTCACCGATGATGGTGCTGTTGCCGTCGGCGCCGTCCCTCTCCAGCAGCTCATCGATGAGATCCTCCAGCTCATTCTCCACCTGGGGAGGGGGCACAGGGGGGGTTTGGGGGGTGCTTGGGG